TGGTATCGATAATCTTGTCGAATACGGTTTCAATATCTCCTTGTTTTAGAAAGATTTCTTTCGGAAGAAGTTATCCAGGTTCTTGAAAAAGTGCAAATCGGTGGGTGTGAGGTAGTTAGGAATAAAATGTGTTGGGCAAAGTTTTGTGGCCTGGCTGTTGCATCTTCCGCGGGGTTGGTTATGCGACGTACTGCCGACCGCTATTGTGGAGAAGAATTGGCCCGTTACTGTAGACCAATACTTTACACATGTATTGAAATTTTCGATGCATTTCTCCAATTTGTTAACAGTACTCCTGCGCTATGTAATCTTTTTGTTCGGATTTATAGCTGGGATGATTCAGACCACCAAACAGTCGCCATAACCCTTTAAGAGTGCAATTTTGGCTTCGAAAAGATTTGTGGAGCTTGGCATTTTTTGATTTTCTTAAAGGATTCGCTTTTCATCACGCGTCACTATTCAGTAGAGAAATTGGTCTTTTTTATTACGTAGTACCAAAGCAGACGCTACTTTAAACGATTCTCTCTTTGATTTGAATTCAATTTGTGCAGCACTTACTTATCAAGCTCTTTTAACTTTTCAATATCTCGCAACTATTTGAAAACCGTCACACGTGGCTGTTCAATTAGAAGCGGGATCTCAAAGAGTTGTACACATACTTCCATTAATTTAGCCTCTCAATTGGTGGTTGTTCACTTTTGAAGGTCATCCACAACAATCATCAGCTTCAAGCCTCTTGTAACCTTTTCATTTTTGAAACCACTTAGGGATGTTACGATCATTTGTGGCTCATGGACCAAATGCACTATCGGTGTCACGATCTTGTTCTGCTGCGTTTCGATCAAGTTTCAGTGGGAACAATTACTTTGTACAGATTCGTCTTCTATCCATGTTTCATTCAATGTTTTGGAAAGCGTGAAGAACGTTTCCGAGCCAACATATAACTACCCTTAGATATCGCGAAAAACCCGCTGCAAAATGAAAAATGAAAGTCAAAGCGAACTTTAAGCATTTATTCAAACATACAGCTGTTAACGTAGCAAACCTCGCAATAACGTTACTAAGGACGCACTAGTACTAGACTTTGCTTGTTTGATTGCAGTTTATGCCCCCACCGACTGCAGTTCTGTTGCTTCCAAAAACATCCTAACACGATCTGAACACACTGTTTTGCTGTGTCGCCAGTTCAGATATGGTTGTTGTTGCAACGTGTATGAATGTGCAAGTTGGTCATTTTAGTTCCGCCAAAGCTGACCTAGGTGTTATGGTCTCACTCTGACCAGACGAACAACGGCGAGCCTCTGTTACGTCTGTGTGCGGAACACCGGCTATTTTTACTAGCATTGCTTTCAGACACACTGGGCCACATAGTGCCGCTTGGTGTACTCCTGGACCCAGATGGATCACATTGGTATAAATTACAGGTGGCGTGCTTCTATTCTGGATTGTCACTCGTTCTGGAATACCTGCATCGACTCTGCTCATGCCTTGGTACGCTGTCGTTTTTCCATGAATTTTACCTGAAGACGTTTGGCAACTGAGAAATTATCCCATCCCTCGGTATGGCAAGCCCACTAGAAGGCCCTGCATACCGAACTTTCTCTTTCTCACCCTAAAGGCCTTGAGGTAAAGTGAAATAAAATCTCTTCTGTCATGCACGATGCGGGACCGTTTTCTTGCGGCACTGTAAGTCGTCACCACACAAATCACGGGATCTCCGAGAGGTCGATGAACTATTGGAATCCAGAATGAACTCCAAATTGGGTATTCGGCGCGATTTAAGGCGTTGCCTACATACTGACAAGGAATCCTGGTAGATGAGTTGGGCTCAAGAACTGATGGAGGCGGTAGCATTCGACAGTTGTCGAAAGTGAAAGCAATTAAATCCCCCCAGCAATTTGAAATTTACAGCAAGACGACAGTTGGTCGGTGGAGTACCAATGACAATGACACAACACCAAACGGTATATGTGACCAAACAAGGAAACCAAGTTGTGGACCAAAATTGATGATGGCGTTTCGGTCCTTATATCTACGACAACCTGAGGCTGGCAAATAGCTGTTTGTGCACCTACAGCACTGGTTGCATTCGACCGATTGCGATAGCTTCGGAGAACCGAGGAAATCTCGGATTAGAATGAAGCAGCTAAATTTTGATTTGAATCTGGTAACCAGTAAACATCAGAAAACACTGGTGGCTACACAACAGCAGGACTTATAGAGGGTAGGTTTTCTGATCTATCTCACACAGCATCCACTTCGGTACATGTTCCCTCATCCAGGAAGATAAGGCCCTATCGGTTCCATTAATGTTACTGGCTCCTCAGTTACATTTTAATTGTTATACACGACGAGAGCTGCCACCGATGGGCAGAGTTCCCTTCGGTTGTGGTACCGGCAGGTCGCTGGCTTAGGTGATGATGGCGACTTGGGCAGTACAGTAGATTCTATGCGCAGCAGCGATCAAGCGCTTAATGGTCCTTAGGGTCGCAAAATCACTTTTTAAACCTAAATCAATATAAACTTTATTTTTGCTTCCTCCTTTACCCAATCCTTTGATTTACCTGATTAACTATGCTTTTGTATAAATCTTCGAGGGTAACCGTTCGACACTAGCCTGGTTCGACACCAGCGTTCCAACGCATCGGTTCAGTAGTCTGTCAAGCAAAGTCTACTGGCACGACTAGAGTCTTCACATGTGTCCGCTTGTATCGCATTGGTGTAAGGTTAGTGAAATGCAATTACTGGCCGGATCATGTTGCCTTTCGGTAGACTGATCTAACTCATCCTTCCGTCGGCGATTTCTTCGGATCTCTGAGGCCATTGCAATCTGTCAGGTACAGTCAGTACTGTAGGCGCGCAGTTATTTGTCAGCCTCAGACTGTCGTGGACAAAAGAACCAAATCTCTGTCATCCATTTTGATCCTCAAGTCTGTTTATCTGTTTGCTCACCTCCATTTGGTACTGTTTCTTATCGGTTCATTCATTCATTATACGCACTAGCTGCAGGTGGAAAACATCTCAGCTGTTGTGCCGCAATACAAAAGAAAAGGTAAAAGGGTGAAACAGAGGCACGCTGGCTGAGTCACCAGTAGCGGATGGACATTGTTCCGGAGAGCTAACAGCCGGCTGTTGTGCCACAAAAAGTCACATAATGCCTATTAATCGAAATCTTATTTGGAGAGGGAGGCTAACCGGAAGGGGATGGACAAAAGAACTCACAACACAAACGCCATTGGGGTCGGCTCTTAGCCATGTCAACAAGTATATCCAATGAAACGTGTTCATCGGCCTTCGGTCCCAAGCCAGGGAACTGAGAGGCTCCAACCGAGGTCAACTTCGAAGTAAGAGCCTTCATTCCTCTTGATCAAGTCATCGCTTGGCTACCTCTCCTCTTCTTCCATCCACACCCCCGGTGCGCAAACAACGCACATCGTGGAAGTCAGTGGGCTAGCATACGTAACACGTGGCCCAGCCATTGTTCTTGCTACTGAAGAGACAATACGGAACACTTGTATCTACTTCCGAACATTGTAGGTAGTCGGCTAGAGTCGGAAACGGGGCGCTAGCAAAGACTAAGTGATGCGAAAGGGTGGCGCTCCCTTTGACCTAATTCGTTGATGCGTGCGGTAACTTCTCTCGTCCATGGTGGCATGATGTTATCAATTCGGAAACGGAAGGTGTTACCACAGTTGAGGGAATGAATAAACGTAATTTGGCTGAACTGCGGTAGAGCGCAGTTTTGCAGTTACGACCGCCAGCACTTCGATCTATGTTGACGTTTCCAGAGTGCAAAGACAACGAGCAGAGAAACTTCCATAGGTCGTGTGGGCATCTTACTTCCCGGTAAGCCAAGCCGAGGAAGAGGGTTGAGTTAGGGGATTCCACCCGGCGCCTTGAGCCATGAAGACTTAAACTGCAAGGCAGCAATGCGAGTAACATGTATTGTGGATCTTTAGGAGCTGATATTAAAACGAAGATTATACGGCTTGTGAGTGAAAAAAATCTACTCGCGGTACGTAAGGAGCTCAAGTATAGTAGCACGGCCGAGCAATATTTCCAGTACAATGGAGCTCGTCGCCACGCGCGAAGGCCGTTTATATTAATTCGCATGCATAGTGTTCAGTCCACGTATGTCGGCCCATAGCCTGGAAATATCGAGCTTGCCTCGTAATCTTGCGGCGCGAGTTCGAATCCTCGTAGGGGTTGGAGTCGTCGTGGTATACTCAGTCCGCGTGCGACTGGTACTGGTCGCAAGGCAGCGAAGCGCCGTTACGGGGTACAGTTGACACATTATTATTCAGTCCACGTATAAACCGGTATTCATCGAAATTACTTAATCGTTCTCCGACGTATACTTACTTCATTTATAGAAATAGGTGGCTAGTAACCTTGTAACCAGTCACTTTGTCTATCTTTCGATCGATTATCCCCAAGTCTGGACGCTGCTTCTCGGCGTCCATGACCATAGACCAGTGGTATCCTGTTATCCTCAGCCTTCACTGACTGACTGTGATCTGTGTCGTGAGTTCGTTCATCCTACCACATGGGCTGGTCACAAGTATTCCTGTGAACGGATTCGCCTTCACCCAATTGTTTTCGTTCGAGTGTACTTTAAGTCCGTTTTCAATTATTTTCCATTACTGCTCACTTGTGTATGCTTTTTTCCTACAGCACTACGTTGGGGCCTCTGTTGTTTGAGGTAATTCTTACGTCATTTTCTCATCGTTTTGGTTGCCTCTGTCCACTAAGAGCATTGTCGCCTGATTCGGCTGTCTTTTTCTTGCGACTCAGCTAACCATCTATCTCACTGAAGTGTTCTGGTGCCACATCTTTTACGGTACTTCACCCATGACATTTACGTAAGCTCACAACGTGTGTGCTTCACTCGCTTTGGATGGTTACTTTCAACTCCTTGTGACTGTTTGCTCCAAACCTCTACTAATTGTTTTGGATGTGTTTTCACTCTGTTTGTGCCCCTTGTCCACATTACTTTACAGGTCAATGCTGCTGCCCGCGAACTTACGGAAGTCAAACGCGAACATGAGCATTTATTGGTTTTGTATGCTCAGTCCGAAAGGCTGATTCATCATCTGGAGCGTTGGCACAGCCTGTCGATTAAAAAGGCCGAGTAAGGGCCCTTTTCACCACCTCATTTCTGTCCTAGATCGATTACTCCTCCATGCTCCATCGTATGTACCTCAGAGCAGTCAGTCTGTCTTCTCTCTCCATGACTTAACCTTCCTCTTACCATTGGCCCCTACTACAGACAGTGTAACTGGTTGCGATTCTGTCTCTCCTACATGGTCTTGTTTACCCACGGTATCTGCCTGTTTCTTAGCGTTCGGTGTTATTGACCTGTAGCCGCTATGCCTCCGATTACCTGTTTGATGCCTCAAAGGTCATCCACCGCATTGCACACTGTGATGGGATCATGCAATCAGAAAAACGATAGGGATTTACGTCCGAAGCAAGCGGCTAGCTTGCCGCAAGCAACGAGAGAGAATTTGATTGGATGGCTACACATATTTCGCCTAGGCACTGATTAGTTCATCTTTGGCTACACTGGGGCGGGTTTGTTGAACTGATTCAGAGAACAAATCTCGTGAATGCAGAAGCGTCATTAGTTACGTAAGTGCCCTAGATATTTACACCGAGGTTTCTACATGCTGGTTATGCTGTCACTTTTACCGAGGTTGCTTTGTGAAATATGCCATTTGTCCCTGAAGGACCGAGTTCTGCGACACACGCTAGCTCAATAGATTAATTTGCTTGGGTGTACATTCTTCATAACCTGAATTTGCAGCTCAACGGAGGTTTGTAGCTCATGGATTTCGTGGCTTTCGTTCTTATCATTTCAATGCGCACTCTACGCCTTTCTCTCCTAAATTTATGTTTTAACCAAACACGATTGTAGGTACATGCTTCGAACAAGACAGAGCACAATTAGATGAGCGGGAACTACACAGGACACTCACTCAAATAGCACCCTTCACCTGTGGCTTGTACATCGTCTGCGCCCAGATGTATGGTGAAGCTTGGTGGTGTGCCCGTTTTTTTCAGTCAGGAGAACACTCATGATTAGATTTGCCATCCAATAAGATGTTTCCTTTTTCCAATATCTACCAAGGACACAGAAATGCGATGAAAATGCTCCCAAAGGGAAACGTTTAGTGATTGAGCAATCAAAGAAGCAGTCCTCTTGCAATCTTCGCTGTGAACGCAATTGCGCTACTGCACTCCATCCGGCAGCTCATCGACAATAAATGCTTACCCTGATGGTGGTTTCCTCACCGTTTCACAGAACATCGGATATGGGCATGATAATATGCTGGGGAATCCGATTAGCCCATTGACCGAATCAGACATATCCCAAGCACTGCAAACCCCATGCAGTTTTCTTGTGTATGAGCCCACGTTACGAAATGACGGCGCAAGTGAAGGACAAGCCGGTCCTCGCCAACTTCACGGCCATGCACTGTCGCCTTTCAAGCGAAGTGATGAACTTAATCTGTACCGTGCTTGACAGCATTTTGTTGCACGCACAGTTTAACCAATCTCCCCCGGGCTACTCTCACGTTGCCCACAATTAAACCTAGGCTTACAGATACCCGAACCCATAGAGTTAATGGGTCCATTATGGGTGCGAAATTCGCGCAGCCGCACAGATTGCTCGAGCCGATTTACAATTCGCTTGTGGCGATAGTACCAGACATTATGTGTGGTACGACACTGCTGCAGTACGTGACCAGTGCATTCGGTGTACTCTCAGGCACACTTGCAACTCGTATCGCCTGCATTTTTTGTGGTCGCACGGCTATCGTGAACCTTTGTAAACAGAACAGCATCATCATTTGTGTTGCACTTGTATACATTCGTGAAAATACACGCTGATGGTGTTTAGGCCATACATTGCTTACGTTATCCGGTTGCTCCGGTAATCTGAAGACCCCATCGCGGCAAAATGATGCAATGGTTTGCGCGCCTCAATTATCCATTGAGCTATGCTGGTTGGTGCTTTTTGCGCCTTCAGAGCCACTCACACTGGTGCACCTAAGCGAAATCAGAACCCCGGTGTGATAGTAGGAAAACTTTAGTGGCAAGCTTGAAGCGGTATACTTTGCCCAGCACATGAGCACGTAAAAATTGTCTACCACGAGGGTCATATGAACGCGAGAACGAGTCCCAGTTCGACGGGAATCAATGGCGCGCGCTTATTGGTTGGCATGCAAACACGTACTCACACAGGTACACACGCTCCTGCACAGTAAGCTTTCTGGCTGAATAGCAGTGGAGGGATGTGGCACGACTAATGACCGTATCATCCCTTTTCCATTTGGTTCGGGTTAACCTGCCTGGAAGCGCTCGACTAGTCGCTGTTGACGATCCGAACGACGTAACAAAGATTCAGTTACTGATGCCGCGTCAGTCATCTGCATATCGATCGTGGCTTGGGAGTGCTGATCTGATCCAGCACTTGTTTCTCCGTTCGACACATGGTCTAAATGGCGCCGCACCACTCGGCCATCTTCAGTTTCTGCTTCCACGATCTGTCCGTTTGTTTTTACAACGGCCGGCTCCCACCCAGAGTCTGTAGGTAAACGGACGTAAATTGGGTCTGCCTCTGTCACAATTCTGTCCCTGCTGCAAATATCAAAATGTTCCTTCGCCCGTTCTTGCCTTTCAGTGAATTATGACTCAATGATCCCATGCAATAAATCTAACCGTGTACGCAAGCGTCGACCGAACATTAACTCGGCCGGGCTTCTACCGGTTGTCTCCTTTGGCATGTTCCGGTGCGCGAACAGGGAATGATCCAAACGCACACGCGGTGGAGCATTTGGTTGTTTGATTAGCAAATTTTTCACTTCCAACGCGTTGGAGGATGAATTATAAGGTGCAGTAGTTATGTGTCTGACGCCGTTCGAGCGAAGAAAGATAGAAAACTTGGCATTGGCAAACGCTGGCCCATTGTCAGACGCTAGTGTTTCGGGGAAACCAAACGTTGCGCAGTTTAGTTATGGTGCTAGATGAAGCTGGCGTGGCCAGAACATCGGCTTCAATCCACTTAGAATGGGCATCGACGATCAATAAAATCATCTGACCCTCGAAAGGACCGAAAAAGTTTGCGTGGATGCGTCTCCAGAGTGTTTCTGTCACCTTCCAAGGTCGCATTAACGCATGGGGGCGTCGTTTCGATTTTCCTGGCAGCATCTGCAACTTCTAACCTTCGCTGCAATGTCATTGTTTAGTTCGGGCCACCACACATAAAAGCGAGCTAGTGCGTTCATTTTGGCAACTCGTGGATGCGAATTATGTGGTTCATCCAGAATACATGACTGAAGTCTTTTGGCGAACTCGTGCGCCCCATAGCAAACAACCGTTCTGCAAACCGAGCTCAGACATCCTATTACAGAAAGGCATGAGTTATTTGTCCGAACTGAGCGTAGCGTTTCACCAGCGATAAAACTGCATCTCTATCAGTCTCCCGACGTATATCCGTTGACGTGATGGAATCATTAAGATGCTGAACCAAGTTTACAACCTCTTGTGGAGTGAACTCTTCCAAAGGTATATCTGATAAAAGAAATCAAATAAGAATATCAGCTGTGGTATTTTGTCGCCCCGGGAACGCATTGCGTTTTATATCGGTCTGCAGATAGAATTAAGGAACCAACGAGTCATTCTGGGTGAAGCCATGTGTTGAATCCCCTTCTCTTGACCAAGGTGGGATACAAGAATTTTATGATCCGTATAGATCACATAGGGTCGACCTAGTAAATTTTGGTGAAATCGAGTAGTACCGAAGATCACAGCTGCCGTCTCTCGATCAAGCTGCGAGTAATTTCGTTCGGTTGCTGTCAGTGTTCTTGAGGCATAGGCAATGGGCCGCTGTTAGCCCTCCGTTAATTCGTGCAGTAAAACAGTTTCAAGACCGTATGATGTGGCATCACAAGAGAGAATAGCAGGCTTTTGCGGGTCGTAATGCGCAAGAATATCTGCCGATGCCGTAAGCTTTTAACTGCCGTAAAAGCATTTTCATGAATTCTGTTCCAATTCCATGTTTGGTTTTTACTTACTATGTAGATGTAGATGTGTTGCTGCCGATGGTATGAACCTTGGAAACTGTGTAACGACCCCCAATAATGTCCGCAGGTCTTGAACATTTTTGGGTGCTGGCGCTTCAATTAGCGTTCTTGTCTTTTCTTTTAATGGGCACAATCCTCATGATAACCAACCCCAAAGCTACTGTACACTCTGCACAAGCAATTCAAACTTTTCTTCTTTAAACCAACCTGGCGTCTAATAATCGTTTGAGGACAACCTCCAAAGTATACATGTGTTCGGTGATAGTACATCCAGTAAGCAGGATGTCATCTAAGTATGCACATGTGTTTGATATCTCATTCACCAGTGTGTCAATAATACGCTGAAAGCTATCCGGGGCCGGGCTTATCCGAAATGGCGTGCGTGTATAGCGGAATAATCCCAGATGAGTGCTAATAGTGATGTATGCATGTCATTCCTCATCGAGTTCGATTTGTTGGTAGGCGTGACCTAGATCTATTTTGGTAAAAAGCTCGCCACAGGAGAGGGATTCATAAATACCAATCTTTGGCAGAGGATATCTGTTAGCTGTAATGCCTGGTTCATCGTAACTTCGTAGTCTCCACAGATTCTTATTACACCATCGCTCCTCAATCATGGCACTACTGGAGCTGCCCAGTTCGAATGTTGAACAGGTTCAATCGTACCCTCCAGCTGGAGTCGGCGCAACTCACTCTCGACTTTATCACGAAGAGCATAGGGAACAGATCGAGCTTTCCATAACCTCGGTATCACCTGTAGTTTCAACACTAGATGAACGGTGTAACTTTTCAAAAGGTCTTGTCTGGACTCATCGAACAACACCGCATATCTCTGTAGGATATCAGATAACTGTGCATGGGTTTCCACCAAGTTGACGTTCGCCATGACGCTGAAACTTTTAATCTCGTCACCACCAAGTACGTTTGGGTCAGGTCCTCCAGAAACGTACACACACATGATTCGTTGAATTATGATAGGAGATGCGTGTAATAAATGTACCCAGCGCCTATACTATCCGTCCCTTGTAAGATCGCAATTGTA